GCGTCCAGCTTCAAAGGTGCAACTAGAAGAAGACCAGACTATTCAAGTTGAAGTCAGCCAAGCTGAAGATGTTGCAGAAAGCTCTCAGAAGCTCCCTGCTTCTGATGTTTCTCAAGCTGCCTTGGACAGGCAGACTCTGGAAGAGCTGAAGCTGAATGATATTCGTCTGCAGCAAAGGATGGATGAAAATGACCAGAAGATGAAAGAAAGGATGGATGTGCAGGATAGCAAGATAGATATAGTAGTCAGCATGGTGCACAAGCAGACTGAGACTGCTGATCAGATCAAAGCAATGCTGGAGACTCTGTTTACACGCCTTCCTCCCCAACCTTAGATTTTTATTCATGCCATTTTCATGTTTTCTTTTCATATCTTCTATATTGTTCTATTTGATTCTGAATATTTTAATATGACAAGTTTTTTCTGCTCTAAATGTTTTAGCACATCACTTACACTTTTTGATTGCTGACAAAAAGGGGGAGAACAAGAATGATATTTTTCAATAACGGATTACTAAGACAGAAAATCTCAAACATTCTAACTCTGATATACTTGAATATGTTTTCTATTTTTGCTTAAGTCTACAGGTACAAGAATGCTCTGACACTCTGATATTCTGAAGACTAAAGCTCTGACACTCTGACCGAAGCAAAGCTCTGATACTCTAATCTGAAGCTCTGCTCTGACATTCTGATCTAAAGCTTTTGACAGTCAAAACTCTGATATTCTGATGTTCAAAGAAAGGCAATAAAGACCTGATCCTGAAGAACTCTTGGAATTAAAAAGGGAAGTAATAAATTCAGGGGGAGTATCTCTCAACTCTGATATCTCTTTATCCCTTATCTTTGATAAAATCTTACTCTGATACATCTTATCATTTAGTTATCTCTGATACTTTTTCACGTTATTTTCAATTAAAAATATCTAGTTTTTGTCATCATCAAAAAGGGGGAGATTGTTAGAACAAAGTTTGAATCTACTACCCTAAGTTTAAGTTTTGATGATAACAAAATGAAAGGATATATTAATTATGTGATTCATATAAGAACTATTTGCTACCTAAAATATTACGTTCTGTTTTGCATAAACTCTGATAGGTATCAGCAAGAGCACACCTAATCAGCATCAGAATATTGGTTATCAACGTCAGCATCAGAAGATGCTATATTAGAATACCAGAATCAGAAGAACAATTCACGCGAATGCTAAAGCTTGATGAACAGAACTGCGCTCAACACTCTGATTAAAGACAACAACAGTTCATCAGCACTTAAGCAGTGTCAGAATGAGGCCAAGCCAGAACACGCTTTAAGTAGCAACGGTACTGTGCATTCAAAGCGAATTATTACCAACGGCATCATTCCAGACAAGATCTGCTCAATAAGGAAAGTTTGTTATTGGCATTGAATCAAGATTATTGCTCCAACGTTCAACAATTTCAGTGCTATATAAGCAACACAATGAAGATTGAGTTGGCTAATGCTCTACATCATATTACACGCCTAAAAAGCTAATCATCATCTTCCTTCTCTCAGTTTGCTAAACGCTTCATATCTCCTTACTCAGTATTTTAGCAATCTAGTTTCATAAGCTTAAGTTGTGTAATATCACAGTTGTGATAAACTTTTTTTGTAGAAAACACTCACACACCTAGATTTCCATTCTGTGTAAGAAAGTGAATCCTTGACAAACCGGGTTGTGGTTTGCATCAAGAAGGCTTTAGCAGTTGTTAAAGCAGTTTGTAATATTCAGTTGAATATAGTGGATTAAGACCTCGTTGGAGAGAGGCGAAATCACCTTGACGGGTGGACTGGAGTAGTTTGAGATCAAACGAACCAGGATAAAAATATCTTGTTCATTACATTGATTTTCAGTTTTACAATTCAACCCCCCTTCTTGTGTTTTTCACTTCTTCAATATGTCCCTTGTTTGTAGGACAAGGCTGTTGTTCTGTGCATGCATTTTTCAGTTACTTGGAGTGTGTTTCTGTTGATGTGTGCAACAAATATTATTGCTACCTTTTAACAACCTTAATTTTTTATTATTTAAATAGTTTAAATTTAAATAAAGGAGATTTAAATTTGAATTAAACTCAAATCAAATCTTTTTATTGGAGTTGTTTTGAGGAAACAAATCCTAACTAAATCTCCAACATATCTGGACGTGATCATCGTCTTTAACCAAGGATAAAAGCCCACCATTGGATTGCTATATATATATAGACTATTCCAATGCCTTGAAGACAATGAGCTTGAATTATAACTTAGGTTTTAGGCTAAGTCTTTTGTTTGTGTTAATTGTACACCATATTATTGCTTCATTCATAACATAAGGCATAGTAGTTGGTTTGTTTAGTTGAGTTGTAATTCAACATTCATCATTGTGTTTATTAAATTTGATCACTTTGGATTATTTATTGAGAGAAAGTGAGAGGGGGTTCTCATATTTAGTGGGAGGCCTAAATATAAAGACACTAGGGTAGAATTAATAAGAGGGGCATTGAATGTGGGGTTTGTTAATCTAACAAACTTTGTATTAATTCTATAGAAGAGTAAATTTCCTTTCTTGGGTAGAGTGCCCCACAGACGTAGGTGTAGTTTCATCAAACTAGATTAACAACTTCTTGTGTCCTTTTATAGTTTTTTGCATTAATCATATTTTTTATCAATTGTTTGTTAATTCTGGTGTAAGATATTTAACACCTTTGCTTAATTCTCTATTTCAACATATGTCCCCTTAAGAATATAATTTCAATTGGTATCAGAGCAGACACACTGTTCTGTTTGGATGAGCTCCAGGAAAGATATTTTATATTCAAATGGGCAACACAAAGGATAGAGGGTTTATCAATAGACCACTTGAATTGGACGGCACCAACTATGATTATTGGAAGGCTAAAATGATTTCCTTTCTCAAATCCATGGACAACAAAACATGGAAAGTTATGGTAAAAGGTTGGAAACACCCAATAAATATTTCTCAAGATGGTACATAAAGCTTAAAGCCAGAATCTTAGTGGACTAATATAGAAGATAATAAAGCTCTTGGAAACTCCAATGCTTTAAATGTTATTTCCAATGGTGTTGACAAGAACATGTTTAGATTGATCAACACATGTACTGAAACTAAAGATGCATGGGAGATTCTCAAAACTGCTCATGAAGGCACATCCGAGTTTGAGATGCCAAGGCTGCAGCTCCTTACTACAAAGTTTGAGAATATGGGGATGAATGAAGATGGATATATCTTTGACTTTAATATCATACTACATGACATTTCAGATACTTCCTTTGCATTAAGATTGAAGATGACTGAAGAAAAGCTGGCCAGAAAAACCCTAAGATCTCTTCCTAAGGATTTTGATATAAAGGTCATAACTATTGATGAAGCTCAAGACCTAGGCAGCATCAAAGTTGATGAACTCATTAGTTCTTTACAAACCTATGAGATGGCCTTGAATGACAGATCTGAAAAGAAGAACAAAAACATAACTTTTGTGTCCAACACTAAAAGGGATGAAGATCAAGGTGAAGAAAGTTTTTTAGAGGCTATAGCCCTTGTTGGGAGAAAGTTTAATCAAGATTTAAGAAGGCTGGACAGAAATTAGAGAACAAATATCCCAGACAAGGTGCCAGACATTAGTCCTCTAAACAAGAGCAAAGATGATCACAAACCTAACAAAGGCAAATGAATACAATGTTAAGAATGTGAAGGGTCTGGTCACATTAAATCTAAATGTCTTAATTTTACAAAGAAATAGAAAAAAAGAATGTCAATCACTTGGTTTGAGTATGATGATAAGAGTGAATGAGAAATAGCTAATAAAGTGAAGGTCTTCACATGAAAATATGACTCTTGTAGTGAGTCCAGCGAAGAAGACATCTCAGCAGAAGAGCTTGCCGAAACTTATAGAGAATTTCTCACTAAGTGGAAGGATTCTTGCATAAGTGCTCTTCTTCTGGAAAAAGATAAGCTTAGCTCAACCATTGCAGGTCTGGAAGAGGAATCCGTAGTGTTAAAATCCAAATTTGACAATATGACAAAATTTGTGTGTATGTTGAGCAGTGGTTCTGATATGTTAGATGAGATCTTGGAGATTGGGGAGAAGAAGACTATAGGGTTTAACTACATTTTTGTGAACAAAAAGGTCAAAATGTCCCAGCATCCCGCTCAACATGTCTACCCTCAAAACAAAGGCAACAAGAAATCATCTTGGAAGGGTCACCATTGTGTTAGATATGGTCATATAAGACCCTTTTGCTATAGACTGTAAAGATATCCTCAGTCCTATACTCATCCAAGTTTCAACAGAAGGAAAGGGAAGAAAACTCAAGAAAATAAGGGGAAATCCAAGGAAATTATCACTTATCTTATAGCTCATACATCTCTTATATTTTTCTATAGAGAAGATTGGTATTTTGATAGTGGGTGTTCAAGGTACATGACTGGTGAAAAGAGTTACCTTGAATAGTTAAAGCTCTACTCAAATATATTACCTTTGGTAATGATGCTAGAGGAAGAATCAAAGGTATAAGCAAACTAGTTAGCCCAGGTTTTCCTTGTCTGGATAATGTGTTATTGGTAGAAGGACACTACTAACTTGATCAACATAAGTCAACTATGTGATCAAGGTCTAAAGGTTATCAACAACAAAACTGGATTTATTGTCTCTAGCAAAGATCAAGAGGTGTTAATGAAGGGTTCAAGTTCCAAAGACAACTATTATATGTGGATATTTCAACCCTCATCCAAGGTTAAGAGCATGAATTAGATCATATATGAAGATGTTGTATGGATTTCCAAAACTCATGATTGAAGAAGTAAAAGTATGTGGTGAGTGTCAAATTTGGAAGAAACCCAATATATCCTACAATATGCTTCAACATCTTACTCATACTTTTGAATCACCACTCATGGACTTTATGAGACTCATGAAAGGAATGGTCATTGAAGGGAAGGTTGATGGTCAAGTTGGAGGTCCTTCCAATATTGAATAACCAATGGTGGTTCAGAAGAAGAAGCAAAAGAATATTAGTGATTATGGCATAATTTTACCTATTGTGGTTCCTTCTCATAATTATGGAATTTTCACTATTCAAAATCAAGGTATTATGTTAGGTGAAGCTGAAATTGGTGTTCCTCTTGGTGTGTTGAATCTTATGTATAAGTTGTATGTCAAGAAACATGTCCTAGACTTTGTTCCCCATATTCCACATTTTGATGATGTGACCCTTGAGAATAATTTTGTGAGTTATGAGGATCATGCCATTAAGATGTTGAGATTGATTTCGTTTTAACCCATATTGAGGTTGTTAATACAATAATAAGAAAAAACATGATATTGTTACTAAAAAGAAGGATCAACTTGTAGCACAAGGCTATGCTGAAGATATGGAACCTTGTTTTACTGGTAATAGGTTTTCTTTTGATGATGACAACTAAAAAGTGAAATATTAATAAGACCTCCATCATGATAAGAGTACAACAAAGGATAAGTAAAAAATCCCTTAAATGGTTAAAGTTGCAAACCATCAATGTAAAGTTTTTATGAACTTGGCTATTCAAAGAATAAGGCAAACTAAGAGAAATTATCTAAACCCTCAAGAGATCTCAAGCAGTATCAACCCAGAAGATGATATCTGGACAAAGTTTATAGAGGGAGTTAAACTCCTAATTTAGCAAGTGAATGACTATAATATGGTGGGAGAACTGGCTTTTAGGTTTTGTGTTTTATCGCAAATGTTACGGATAGCAAGAGTTGCCACCGACTTTTCTTTTATCCAATAAAGGAAAGGGTGAAAAGAACAGGAAAGACCTTTGAGAATTTTCTTGAGTTTGGGGGGTAGTGGCATATCCCAATTTTTGACCTAAGATCCCATTTTTATTTTTGCATTTTTATACAGAAGTCAAGGTCACGAAATACGGTCGATTTTAACCTCTCACTTTCGAGCATTGACTATGTGGAAATTGTCAAGTATTTTGAACATTCTTAGCCTATGTATCACTAACTTCTAATCAAGCACGAAGTGTGTGTTTTTTGTTTCTTTGATTTCATTTGCAAGAAACAGATCTGAATCAAGAGCATCAGGCGTTATGCATCGATTAGGGTTCAGAATCTCAAGCCAGAAGTACAATTGATCGTTGATTCTTGAAGACTGATTCATCAGGGGAATCGTGTGTTTATTCCCACGCCTTGTTCGACAAGTGGTCTCAAGCTTCTCCAAAAATTCCCCAAAGCACAGTCAAGATTTTATCATCACTGGTTTACATGTGCATCAAGATGCTTTGAAATGCAAAGAAAGATTAAGTTTGCAAGTCGTTTCAAAGCATTTAGACCAAAAGTTAACTCTTGCAAGTTCAAGTTCAAACAGTCACAACTTCTTCAATTTTCAACGTCCTGAGGCGATTCGTTTGTGAAGTATCACAAATAGCATTGTCTATGAGATTACTTCAAAGATCGAGGTTCAGTTCATGCCACAGACGTTTTCTCAAGGGACATTTGATTCTTATGTTGGGATAATTCATGAAACTAGAGTTTTGGTTCAATGATTCTTTGATCGCTTGTTGCCTACTTTAAGTCATTTGCAATTTAACATTAACGATCGTTGGATTAAGGTGGATTATTGATTAAATTTCTTAAAGGCACGATTTATACTGTTGGCATGTATTGCAAATTACCATGAATCGAAGATTTAAATTAGGGCCTCATTAGAAATGATTTGGATATTCACTCGCGAGATGCCATTAAATTCAATTTAATTCAAAGTTTCAAAGACACTCATCCTTTTAGCCATGATTCAGTTGTCCACTTTAAATTCAAAACTTTATTCATGGGAATAAAATTAAGGCATGTATCATAATTAATTTGAGATTGCAAGGCATGTTCCATAACCCATTCATCCAAATGCAAGGTTCAATTTGGTGCGTAATTTCAAGATTATTCAAGAATGGATCAAGACTCCTTTCCAATATCATTCAAGATTCATACAAACCAACAAAAGATAAATATTTTTTCACTCATGATTCAAAGTTAACAACATCTTTTATCAAAAGTGAGTTGTATTCAAGAATCATTCAAGAGACTTCAAATTCATTCAAAGATTCAACCATCATCATTCATGACCTATTCAAGCCCATTTGGTTCATTCTTCATACAAGACATAATTTTAAGTGACGTTTCAAATTCCATCCAAGGTTATTTTCAAGAGAAATTTTGAGATTCATCAAAGGTTTACACCAAAAATTCAAACATAATTTATTACAAGGAAAATTACAAATGAAGTTACAAGCAAAACAAGACTTGAGCTATTTCTAATGCCCTATGAACTTCATGCCTCAAACTTGCTGTCCAAATTTGCCTTAATCCAAATCCTTGCACAAACTTGCACCAAAACCCTTATGTCCTTATCCAAGTTTTGTTGCACAATGGTCATGCTGCTGCCCCTGCTGCAATGCTGCGAAAAGACTGCACATTCGCTGTCACAAACAGCCCAAACCAGTCCAAAATTTTGGCTACTGCCATGCTGCTGAAACAAGCCATATCAGTCCAAAATGCCCTGTCCCAACCTACAAAAAATCTTGCATCATATCAGTCCAAACCAGTCGAAGGATAGCACTAAAATAGGTAATAAAAAAACTACATCAACAAAGTGATAAAAACATGATACCATATTTGTTCAAAAACCTATTTAAATTCCCCCCAAAACAACACTTGTTAAAAAGGGAGGAGGGAGCCCAGCATCAGTAGGAGGGGGAGAAAAATAAAAAAGGATATAAGAAAAATCTATTGTTCCATCTGCCCTGTAACTTCTCTCGCAGTTTGGCACTACTCAACATCCCTCTATGAATTAAGAACTCATAACCCTCACTCATTTCTCTCACTATTTCTCTGCTCACAAGTAAACAACAACAACAAATCTTCCCTCACTATCTCTCTCGCGAAAGTCTCTCTTTGTTTTTCCTTTTACCTCTTTCTGCTAACCTTTGTTCACCATGGCATATCAATAAAACCACATGACTGAGCAACACAAAAATTTTCAAAAGAAAAAGCATAATAGTTTGGAAGAGGGATTCAAAGCACCGTACCTGAGCCATTTATCCATCTTGCCAGAAGCGTAAACCCGTCAGATTACTCCCGAACTTGTAAGTTCTTTATCACCCTTGCATTTTCTTATATTGTTGCATAGCTATCTTTGTGTTTGTATGTTTGTTCGTTATTACCGCGTACGAAACCTTGAGTTGGGGTAATCATTTCGAATCGTTGAGAGTTGATGATGATGTTGTCACCATGAGAGAAAGATGGTAGATCGAGAGATCCTAAAACCAGTTTATACGAGTATTTTATTCGGCTACACAGCCACGATGATCCCACCTCAAACTTCACGTCGGCGAACAACGACCATTCCTATGCCAGATTTCACTAGTTGGCCCATTTTGAATAGTTTTATCCCTAGCTGCAACATAATAAGCAGCACCCATTCTGATAAAAGTAAAAACAGTATTTAGCTTCTTATGTTAACACAACCACCAGTAACACATACCAACACACACTTACTGTTCCATCCCTATTCTACAAAACGCCATCCTCACCGATACTCTTTCCTCCACCAAACCATAACACTTTACTGCTCTCATTCTCGAACAAACCGCCCGCAGTTAACTGAATCCAGGCACGGCCAAAATTACATCATCTTCTTTGTACTGCTTTCGTGAAGCCATTTGCATCCCTCTCTTTCACCGATTTTTCGTGGTTCACTCTAAATCTAAGCAGAAGACTAAAACCCTAGGTTATAAATTACATGGCCAAGGATGAATTTTGACCATGATTTGAGAGGGTCATCATTCTACTCCCTCCGCTCTACATGCATACATCGAGATCCCAATCAAAATGGGAAGAAATCGGTTACCTTAGAGTGAAAACTTCCTCAGGTGAAGATTGAAGCACAGATGCTGATGACGATTGAAGCAGGTTAAGAAGATGATGCCGAAGAAATGTTGAAGTAGAGAAGAGAATCGATGAAGGATGATGATGTCTGAAGAATCTCTAGAAGTTGCAGAATGAAGCAAAGAAGAGGTGGATGGTAGGGAATGGGGCGTGTACGATTGTAATGTGGAGAAGAGCATTGAGAGGATGTTCATAGTTTGTCCCGATTTAATTTTTCTAATGAGTTTTAATAGGTTTTATTTGGAATGATTAATAATTAATTAAAAATTGATGCAAGGAAAACTGAGTGGTGCCTCTTTGTACAAATAAGGGTTACAAAAACCCTTCCTTTATCTCTTCAAACGCGGATCAATCCATGGGTCTTTTAGCCCTTTTTTTTCCAACCTTTTTCGTTTTTAGGTTAGTTAAAATATACATATGACAGATACGTAGTATTAGCCCAGTGGCAAGGTAGTTTAATTATGGGTAAGGAGACATGAGTTCAACACCCTGCCAATGCATCTCCATTTTATACGATTGCGCGAACCCCTTCATTCATTTTTTTGTTTTACTATTTTTCTAAACTTAAGTTAATTTTCTTAATGATTCTGAGTTTGAGAGGTTTTTAGGGCTTGTGCCTTCGTGTCTTAGCTTGCAAATGGACTCTCTATACATAAGCAATGTGTTTCAAAAGGTGAGAGTGTTTGGATTACAAGTTCCCAAGCTTTTTGCTTTTGGTTGAAACTTGTGATTTTTGGGAACACAAAGTCTTAATGTATTGTACCATGCCTTATAGAGTGATTAAACACCTTAAACATGTTGCTTATGAATTTGTAGATTGAGTGTGTTCAGAAGAAACAAGTTAGAGACTCAAGGAGTGGACTTTTGTAAAAAGCTTGCTTTACAAGAATGGAAATGGTACCTTTCTCCCTTAAATGGCAAGTAAGCTTGGAAAAAGATTTAATCACTTGGATCATAGCTCAAAAGCTTGTGTAATATTTTGATTATAGCAATATTTGGAGTTTTAGAGGCCTAAAAAGTGGGATTATACAGCATGGCTTGGAGATTTGGTCATTAAGTTTTCACAAGAATGGCTTATATTTCAAGAATGGATGACCAACTTCATGTCTTTGAAACTTATAGCTCAAGCATGATAAAATTATGTTCTTGGACATTTTGGAAAGCTTGAAACATTGTCTACAACTTTCATGTTGACCACTTTGGCTAAATCAAATTGGAACTTGGTGAAAATTTGCCAAGAAGTTGGGATAAAAATCTGACCAAACTTGTTGAAATTTTTTCCAAGTGTAGAGTAAAAATGTCACAACTTCATGGGCTTATATCTCTCAAATTAAGCACTTTTTGAAGATCATC